ATAAGAACACCGAGGCTCAGAGGGACCACGTGGATCACCCAGCCCCAGAGCTAGGAAGCGCTGGAGCCGGCCCTGCACTCAGGTCTGCCCGACTCCAAGATCTGCCTGGCTTTTACCCACTGCGCAACAGAAGGAAGACAGAAAGGTGTGTTGGCGAGCAGTCCTGAAGGTACAGGAACCTGCGGCCAGCCTGAGCTTCTCCATGGACTTGCTTTGCTGCCAAGGAATCTTCAGAGAAAAACTGTCAGCTGGTCCAGCCACATGGAGGCGGGGCTCACGAGATCTGGAAATGTCTTCACCGGTTCCAAGGCACACACAGCACCAACTGCCCTCTCTCTTGGGGTCAACGTTCTTTATGATTTTTGCTCTCCAGGAAAATATTAGTTCATTTATATAAGCTAAACATTACATATGGGGGGAAATGGAAAACGTGGCATTCCTGGCCTTGTTTCTCCCCAGACCAGAAACTGAGAAGTTTTCTCCACTTCCTTTCTCACAGTCTGTCCATCTGCTTGTGCGGAGCCTCTGGCACGGCTGCTCCCCGGGGGGTGGAGAGGGGGGTGTGGGGGCATCGGAGGGACGCAGGGTGCAGCTGCCCCTCAGGGGACCACCTTGACACCAACCGAGGCCCCAGAGACCTCACCGGAGGGCTGAGTCCGACACAGAACCTGCGTCTCCCGGGCAGGGCCGGCGAGCTGAGCTGGCGAGCGAGTGCAGCCAGAGCGAGGTCAGGCAGCTCACGCTGGCCTCCTGGGAGTGCTCTTCCCTGCGCCCCATCACTTCCTCACGCTGTCTGCTGCCTGCCTCCCCAGCTAAGGCGAGAAAGAAGCCCACGAGGGCAGGTCTTCTCCAGGCACCTCGGGGAGCCTGGCTCACAGCCGGCCCCTGGCATGTGAAGCCTCCAGTGAACGGACTCTCCTGGGGCCTTTCCTCGGCAGGTGTCGGGGTGCCTGCTGGCTGGAAAGAGCCCGGGGCTATAGCCCCAGCCCCCTCCTGAGGAGTCGAGGGAGGCTGCGTTCCTCCCATTCCTGGGACTGCAAGAGGCACATTCCTGTCCCTGGTCTGGTAGGGCTTTTGCCACGCAGCCCCATCTAACTGCCAGACATGGAAGACCTCCCTGAAGCTGCCCTCTGTCCCACCCGCATGGGACCCCGCAGGTCCCCACTGCCGTCTGGAGGCCAAGGCTGGGAAGCCAGGATCCCTGAGTGTGACTAAAACCTTCCAAACACTCCTGGGTCCTCTGATGGTCCATGAAAACCTTAACACCCCGCTTCCAGGCTGGAGCTGCAGCTGTGGAAAGTCAGTGGCAGACGCTCCTGGGTACCGAGGTCTGCTGGCCTCAGCACTTCGCTGGGAGGAGCATGGAGTCAGCAGGCAGCCGGAGAACCAGGTGCCCACAGGCCCAGCTGGGAGCCCAGAGACCAAGCTCCCCACATGCGGGGCTCTGGGAATTCCAGGCCCAGGGAAGGCAGACACGGGACAGAGAAGCACAGACAGCTGTTGCGTTTCCACAAGGGAAGTGCCCTGAAGCACGGAGAGCTGCAAGAGGGTGCAACGCAAGGTCAGCAGGCTCTGGAAACTGGCAGGCACTAGACATTTTAGGTTTGCAGGCCCCAGGGTCTCTGTCTCAACCTCAACTCTGCCGCCACAGCGAGCAAGCAGCCAGTGTGTCCACGGCTGCGTGGCTGTGCTCGGATACAAACCAGAGTGGCCTGCGTCAGAGCCAGGTACGCCATTCCCCAGTCTAATGGGGGCCTGACCTGGTCGGGGAGCGGGAGGAGAGAGAGGAGGAATGATTTCCCCAAGCCCGAGTGATGACTCAGGGACAGAGGCAGAAGCATAACATTGACAGTAATAACATCATCCTAATAAAGTTACATTTGATGAGGGTGTTCTCCGTGTCAGGCACACATGATCTTAACAAATTCTTCACAACCACCCTCTGAGGGAAGTATTACTATGCCCACTTTACAGATGGAGAAATCAAGGCTTGGCGGGTACACAGGGTGTTCTGTCCGACCCTTCAGATGAGTTCTTCACCCAGCTTGGTGCCCTTGGGAGGCTGGACCCAAGAGGCACCTCTTGGCTCCCTCACCCCAGGCTTCCAGCTGGGTTTGGCTGAAAGGAGGCTCCAGCTGCAGATATGGTGGGAGGGCGGAGGAGAGAGAGGGCAGGGCATTTCAGCTCCGTCCTCCCTCCTCCTTTATCCTTGGCTACCACAATTCCTGCCGAGCTGACCCGTCCTCTGCGACTCAGCACTTGTTGGAGTTGGTGACATTTTTTCTTCCCCAAGTCCTTCAGCCTAGAAGCGCTGGGGACCTTGCTGTCCTTGCGTAAAGTATTTATTCCTACTCCCATTTCACCTTCATTAAGTCTCTTCCTGTGAGTCATCTGGGGGCAATTCTGTTTCCTGCCAGGACTCTGACTGATGCTGGAGGTTAGTTAACTGGCTGGCTTCTGGTTTCACACGGCCAATAAGGCCAATAAACATCAGAGCCAGGTGGGGATGAGAGGGGATGGGATGGAAGGAGAGTAGGCTGAACCTTGAGGAGGCTGGACCGGGGGCTGGGTCCCGGCTCTGGTACCGGTTTCCATCCTAGGCAGGGCTCAAAAGTGAATGCAGGCACTTCCCCAGTGGTCCAGTGACTAAGTCTCCATATGCCCAGTGCAGGGGGCCGGGGTTTGATCCCTGGTCAGGGAACTGGATCCCACATGCCACAACTAAAGATCCCGTGTGCTGCAACTAAAACCCGGTGCAGCCAAGACAGAACTATCGTATTTTTAAAAAGTGAATGCAGCGCCTCCTTTCCTGCCCCAGGGCTCGGTGAGTGGTCTGCTTCTGCGGGCCCCCAACTCAGTGTTAACTTTTCTGTGCCTGGCTCCTGTCTCCACCAGGGGCACTGGTAGATAGATAAATCCTCCAGCTCGTCGGGCCGTGGGGACCTGACGGCACCTGGGAAGGCCTGAGATGCGCTCATCCCGTTCAGGTGTGCTAATCAGACAGGCTGCTGCTGCTGCTGCTAAGTTGCTTCAGTCGTGTCCGACTCTGTGTGACCCCACAGACGGCAGCCCACCAGGCTTCGCCGTCCCTGGGATTCTCCAGGCGAGAACACTGGAGTGGGCTGCCATTTCCTTCTCCAATGCATGAAAGGGAAGTCGCTCAGTTCTGTCCGATTCTTAGTGACCCCATGGACTGCAGCCCACCAGGCTCCTCCGTCCATGGGATTCTCCAGGCAAGAGTACTGGAGTGGGGTGCCATTGCCTTCTCCAGACAGGGTGCAGGGACCTCTTATTCAGACTGATCAGGAGGCAGAAGGGCAGAACCCTCTGTATCCAAGCCCACTCTCTGCTCCAGGACTGCGGCATTCCCTCTGGAACAAACAGCCTTGAGTGGTCAGCGCTCCTACACCCCTCTGATGGCTCCCTGCCCCGTCAGGTGTATGTGGGCATCAGGAAGGAACATGGCTGACTAAGTGGGAGAAGGTTCTAAAACAAGAAGGCAGAGACAAGACCAGCGCTGTGAACTTCTCTCTGGTCACCTCTGCTGGTGGGTCATTCGCCATGTGCGGAAGGCAGTAGACGTGAAAGGAGACCATGGGAGACAGTTTCCTGTTGGGCTCATGGAACCCTGTGAGGATCAAGTTTAGGCCAGGACTCTGTCTTTTGAGGTGTAGACAGCAGTATCCCCAAGCTGTGTGGATCAACCAGCATCTCCCTCTCTCTGCTAAGTTACCGTGGGACCCTGGGGGTGGGCTAGGGGCAGGGTCTAGCCTACACACCGGAGCCAGGAGAGGCTGGGAAAGGTAAGGCACCTGGAGGAAACCCCGGAGTCAGGGCAGAGGCCTTGCCGGGCGGGGCCAGTGAGAGGCTGTGACATAGCCTCCTGTGGCCCTAGGGTCCCGACGCAGCAGCACCGCTGCAGCAGCCTGGCTCCAGAAAGGAGAGCAAGTGGTTGGTGAGCAGGTCAACAGGTCGCGGGCAGGGGTCATGACACCAGGCAGCAGCCTGAGACAGCCACCTCCTCACTAAACACTCACCACCTGTCAGACTCTACACCGCATGCCCTGCATGTATCATTTCAATTTTGATATTCCAGCAACTCTGGGATGGGAGGCTTATTATCCCCATCTTATGAGTAAGGAAACTGAGGCCCAGAGGGTGTAAAGTTACTTGTCCAAGACTGCAGTGGCCTGGCACCCAGGTGGGCGTCACATAAGCTCAAACCAGGAGGAAGAAGTACAATTGAACCCCAGCCTGCAATCTGGTCCTGCCCAGAACAGGAGCAGAGACCAGCCCCAGCAAGAGCTGGACACGACTTAGCCACTGAACAACAACCAAAAGGAAACTGTCCCAGAGATGACTCTGGGACAGCAGCCAACATTGTGTACAGGTACGCAGTGTGCTTTAAAAGCATGAGGGGCCCAGTCCCCACGGTGAGAGCTGGTTCCACCTTCATTTTGTGGATGAGGCCACTGAGGATTGGAGAGGTACCATGACAGAGCTGGAAGCAGCACAGCTCCAGCTGGACTTCAAAGCCTGGGCCTCTTATCTCTATGGGACGCCACATGTGTCCCAAATATGGGAATAAAACCGATGCCCCAGGAAGGTGAGCCCTCTGTGTGTGGTGGGACCAAATGCCCCAGGCATTCCGTGCACCCCTCTGGGACTTGTTACCCAGAGCCTGGGCGAGAGGCCTGATGACAAGTGTCCAGGTGACCTGGAGAGTGTCCTGGGTTTCTCCACCCAGTTCAGGCCTATCTTACCTCTGTTGGGTCTCAGACTCTCCCAGGGAGCCCCAGCCCAGAGGTACCCTACAGGAACCCGTGTAATCAGAAGCCTGGGCAGGCTGCAGCAGGTGGGGGGAGGTGGCTGTGAGCAAGGACACTGAAGCTGCCAGACAGCAAACTGGACTCCGGTCTTTGGCTCCACAGGCAAGGCCAACCCTGGCAGCCACGTCTGGGCCATCGGCGAGTCTGCCCCCACCCGAGGGGCTACGATACCTGCAAGATCTTCCTTGGAAGAGACTAGTCTCGGGGAGCTGCTTCCTGGTTCAATTCGGAGTGACAGTCTGAAAACAAAGATTTTCAAAGGATTAGATGGGCTCTAGGGTATCAAAGGGGGAACCAGACATGTGCAAGCTGGGACCTGGGAAACTGGACTGCTGCTAAGGGCTATTCCAGTCATGGAGCCAGCAGTGCTCTGAGGTCTGCTCCAGATCACAGACACGGCTTTCCAAGGTCCCCAGAGGGTTTCCATGACCAAGAAATAATGGCTAGGGAAGACACAGTAAGTAGTGTAATCGTGGCCCCTCACTGCTGGGCACAGATGTGTTCCTGCTCAAGGCAACACTATGAACTAGGAACACCATCCCCATCCTGTAGATGAAAAAAGTGAGGACCAGCGAGGTTACACAGCTCCCCCCAGATATGCGGGGCTAACAATTGGCCGAGCAGGGGATCCGGGCTGTCTGACCCCAAGCCAGGGTTTTAATCATTACACTGCATTCTCAGATGCCCCCAGAGAGGCATGACATAGTAGTTATTACTGTTTTTCTTTAAAGCATCAATTAAGAAACTTCTGGCTGAAAATGACAGAGTGAAGTTGGATGCCAGTCTCCCTGACCCAAGACCACAAACACAAACTCTCAGGAGTAAAAGAGCCCCCCAGCTGCTACTCAACAAGGGAGGGGGCATGAACTTCAAGAGCTTGTAGCCAGGGAAAGAAAAAGTGGATTGTGTAGCTGAACAAGCCATCACGTCGCCCAGCTCCCATCCTGACCTCGGACTTCTCAGGGGGTCTGAGCGGCTCCAGATTCAGAAGAGACACGGATGGGGTGGTGGGTGGGCGGCGTGGGGGATGCTCTGATAGAAATGCAGGCTTCATGGTGTGGGGGGTGGGGGGTGCGTCATCTGAAACCTGAGGGTATCCCTTTCTGGAATGGGATTCAGCCCCCTGTTAGATGGAGGAAACACTGATGAAGGCCTTTTGGCAGAGTCCCCTTCTCTAGAACAGATGGCTTGTTCCTTGCCTCTAAGGAGCTGGAGTCCTGCGTGTCCCCAGGCCGCACAGAGGGCAGAGACTGAAAACCCCTGTGCCTCTCAGCACAGTGAAAGGAAAATCAGCCCATTCCACACAGCGCAACAGAACCAGACGGCGCCTCCTTCCATCAGAGCTGCGGACTAGCCAGAGGAAACCTCTCTTGTGGGGGCAAGATGAAAAGAAACAGTATGGCCAACTCAAACATCCTCGCAGCAAAAGGGGACAGAGGGAGGGAGAGAGCATTGTCCACATTGCTCGGCCCAGAAGGCAGCCCCAGGGGACACGGGGAAATCCCCCCAAGGTGCTTGAGAATATGGGTTGTATAGAAGCAAACCTGAAAAATGAGATGGGAACACAAAAGATGAAAGGGGAGACTGGAGACCCCAGGGAACAAACCAAGGACAGAAACGAGAGGACTGAAGGGATACCAAAGGAGAAACAGACCAACTCCAGCGACTGAGGATGAAAGAGATGGCGATTACAGCCATCAGAAAGAAGTCGATGGACATGAAAGGCAGAGAGCATCCAGGGTATGGATTCCTGGAACGCCGGAGAGAGAAGAGCCAAGAAATGGTGCAGAAGAAGTGGTCAAAGATAGAAACCAAAAGAATTCCTCTGTGATGAAGAAAGAGCACATGCCGCTCCAGGGAAAGCTCCACTCAGAGGCATTCCCCTTGCGAGGCTTTTGAACTTTAAGGAATTCTTCCCACGAGGTAGACAAAACAAGTCACTTACAAGAGGAAAAGTCTACACTGGCTTGAGACTTGTCTACAGCAGCACCCAGCGTCAGACGGCACTGGAGCCGGTTCTCTGCGTCCTGCAGGAGGGAAACCAAGGCGCCCAGCAAGTTAGACGCAGGTGTTTTCATGAAAGACATCAGAGGGTGCAGGACGTGAGCAAACCTACTTCACAATGAAACCCAGCTAAATAAAGGACTGAGTTAAAATAAAGACTCCAGGAATGGAGAAGCGACAGGTGGTAAGAACTGAAAACGTTTAACTAAAACGATTCCTAAAGAGTAGGAATCACAATTCCTGAACATGATGTGTATGTTATAAACTCGGAGAAACAAGAAGATAACTAACGAGGAGTTGGAAGGTGGTGCAGGGGAGGTGAAGGAAGCGGGTGGAGCTTGCTAACGATCTCATCTTTTATGACCCAATGGGCCCTGCACACCATGGAAATCTAGTTAAAACAGAACTTAGGGACTCCAACCTCGTCATGTTCTTCCTGACCTCTTCTGTTAATCTTAGAAGGCTCTTTTTAGGGAATAGTATCTCTTATTTAGGGAATAATATCTCTTATATAATTTAGGGAATAATTTCTCTTACAGAGAAATGTTTATCTGAAGAGCGGCAATTCCTTATATTTTATTTCAGTTCCTTTTTCTGGTTAAAGTAAAATTGAAGTTGTTTTAATTAAAAAATAGCAAGTGCAGTAAAATCCAATAAATTCTATTCTTGCATCCATCCATCTGTCTATCCATCCTTCTCCATGTGTATATATGTACTTTCTATGCACAGAAGAAGGTCCAGAATAATGCTCATTTAATGCCAACAGTCATGCTTTTTAAGTGGCAGGAATTTGGGTAATTTTTCTTAAATAAAGTAAAATAGATGAAAGACTGAGGAAAACAAAACACTGGCTGGGCTCCTTGGCACAATGTCTTCAAAGTAAGAGGAAGCCTGCATCCTCAGAGGTGGGGATCAAGTCTCTGGGTGTGCACTGGGCCATGGAGCGTGGGTTCCTCCAGCAGCGTCACAAGCCCTGGGCATCCTTTGTCACTCAGATCCAGGGCCTTTCTAGGAAGGGACCCCCTCAATGGTCTGGGCCCGGGACAAGAACACAGCCTTCCTCCCTGGGTGTGCCCACTTGGACCACAACAAAAGGCCTTTGTGAAATCCAGGCATTAAGTGCTAGGGGTGTTCACTGTCCTTCAGAATGGAAGGAGTAATTACTCACAGTTTGCAGCTTGTCCAAGGATTAGCTCATGGTCAGAAGTATTTATGGACCATTTTTCTCCTTAAAGTATATTAGTGTTAATGAAAAACTACTGTCTTTTTAATAAAATGATTGGCACATGAATGGAAAATATTATCCCAGAAGCTAACTAGGAATAGTTTCCCACTCCGGGGTACTCTTTTCAGGAACAGGAAATGCTTTGTAAGTAACAATGAGCAATTTGTGGCAAACATAATTTGAATGGTCATCTCTGGCCCTGATCTATTGCTGTTATGATTATGTAACAGATCAAAATGTATTACATTCTATTTTAACAAAATATTGTACAATAACAACTAAAGGTATCACCTCTATATTTCTAAAGACAGCCAACCATTAGGAGGACCATGTTGGGAGCTTTGGAAACAAACACAGATTTCCAGGCCCCATCCCAGATATCTGGGTGGCTAGAAGGCTTCCCAAGTGTCTCTGGCCCACGGTCAGGGCTGAAACCCACTGCCACAGAGCTGGTGAGGGTGGTATTACTTTAGCAGCCATTCCCAAGGTCCTGGTGAATGAAAACGGGTAACCTGAAGGTGTCCCTAGTGGCCAGTTTCCAACAACTTAGATGAAGAGCAAATCATCAAGCTGACCACATTTTTAAACGTAAAACTGGAAGAGATTAAAAAAATACATTGGAGAGCAGGATTCAAAGAGATTATGCACACTTTACTGGCAGCAACCAATAAGACAAGATTTAAAAGAACACATGCAAAGTTGGTGTTTAGAGGGGGAAATTGATCAATTACATGACATCCAAGACTAGCCTTGATAATAGGCCATGTGAAAAGCCCTGAGGTTCTGAGTTGACTTCAAGCTCAAAATGAGCCAAGATGTCCAACTGATATGGGGGACATGTAAAGGTACTATACTCCAATAACAATTCAGCAGGAAAAAAAAAATATGGTGGACAGACTCAACATGAAAAGTCCTCCTTCTCACATACAGATGGCAAAAAAACACATGAAAAGATGCTCAACATCACTCATTATCAGAGAAATGCAAATCAAAACCACAATGAGGTACCATTACACGCCAGTCAGGATGGCTGCTATCCAAAAGTCTACAAGCAATAAATGCTGGAGAGGGTGTGGAGAAAAGGGAACCCTCTTACACTGATGGTGGGAATGCAAATTAGTACAGCCTCTATGGAAAACAGTGTGGAGATTTCTTAAAAAGCTGGAAATAGAACTGCCATATGACCCAGCAATCCCACTTCTGGGCATACACACTGAGGAAACCAGATCTGAAAGAGACACGTGCACCCCACTGTTCATCGCAGCACTGTTTATAATAGCCAGGACATGGAAGCAACCTAGATGCCCATCAGCAGACGAATGGATGAGGAAGCTGTGGTACATATACACCATGGAATATTACTCAGCCATTAAAAAGAATTCATTTGAATCAGTTCTAATGAGATGGATGAAACTGGAGCCCATTATACAGAGCGAAGTAAGCCAGAAAGATAAAGACCATTACAGTATACTAATACATATATATGGAATTTAGAAAGATGGTAACGATAACCCTACATGCAAAACAGAAAAAGAGACTCAGATGTATAGAACAGACTTGTGGACTCTGTGGGAGAAGGCGAGGGTGGGATGTTTCAAAAGAACAGCATCGAAACATGTATATTATCTAGGGTGAAACAGATCACCAGCCCAGGCTGGGTGCATGAGACAAGTGCTCGGGCCTGGTGCACTGGGAAGACCCAGAGGGATCGGGTGGAGAGGGAGGTGGGAGGGGGGACCGGGATGGGGAATACATGTAAATCATGGCTAATTCATGTCAATGTATGACAAAAACCACTGCAATGTTGTAAAGTAATTAGCCTCCAACTACTAAAAATAAATGGAAAAAAAAACTAAAAAAAAAAAAAGAAAGAAAAGAAAAGTCCTCCTTCTCCCTCTAATTCCATAGAAATCCTGGATGAATTCCCAGCTGCCACAGATGAAGAGAGAACTGAAAGCCAGAGCGGGCGAGTGGGAGACGACGCCAGAGGGCCCACCGGGGACCTCACGGGACTGGGCATATCCATGTGGGCTGCATGGCATGGAGATGGAGCCCCCACCAGCGCCAGGTGGCCGGAGTCCAGCAGCAAGTGGGGACCCCAGGGGGCTGCCTCGTCCGTGAGCAGGCTCTCGAGAACTCTGGCAGCCCGGCGATGCCCTTAGGTAGCTGCCCTTCCACTCAGCGCTCTGAGTGGGGAGTCCGTCATGAGAACCTGGAGCTGCGGAGCCCCAACTTTACCCTCCCCGGTGGAAAAAGCCACGCTGAGAAGCTGATGGAACACCGTCCTTGGTCTGAAGGGGCCTGTGGGGGGCGGGCCAGGGTGGGAGGAGATGCTCAGCAGCCGTGCTCTGGGCTCTGTGGGGTCCGAGGTCACTGAACACTCGCGTGCTGGGGTGGGAGCATGGGTGCTGCTGCACAGGTGGCCAGGGGCGGGGTGGGCACTCACTTGTAGTTGTCGTCCTCCACAAACTTCTGGAGCTCTTCGATGTAGCGCACGGACTTCAGGTACTTCTGCACATGGGGCAGGGTGGTGAGGTGGTCTGCAGGAGGAGAACAAGACCCAGAGGCTTCAGTCTCTCCCCGTCTCTGGGCTCCACACGAGACAGGACTGAGACACATAGGCAGTCCTTCAACACTTGCGGATGATCCTTTGGGCCAGGCCTGTGCTGGGCACTGGGCACAGGGCACAGAGTGGACCCTCGAGGCATGCCCCCCCCCAGATGGCTGGGCCACAGACCCCACACCCTGAGGTCACCAGAGTTCCTTGGCTGGGCAAAGATGGGTCTTGGCAGGGGGTGTGGGTGGGGAAAGATGGCCTCCAGAACAGACTAGAGCCAGGTGTGTGCCCTCAAACAGGTTTCCACTGGAATAATTGGACCAGTCTCCCTCACCTACCCCATCCCCTCCGTGTGACAAGAATGAATGGATCCTGTCTAGCCTGGTGAACAACCCAAACCCAAACCTGGGCGCAGCCTGAGAGCCTGGCTGCTGCATCCTGAGAAGATAGGGAGGGGCCGAGATGCTTGACCACCTGTTCTGTGCCTGTTCTAGAAGCCATCTGGCCTCAACCTTTGCACCTGCCTCATTTCCAGGAATAAGATGCGCAGAGGAGGAAGCCACCGTTTGCAAGGTCACTCCACTGAGAAGTTTTGACTCGAGTCACCTGTGGCCTCGGCCACACTGCGCTGTCTCTCTGTCCTGGGCTGACTGATGTCAAGTGCTCTCCTCCGACCATCATGGTCACTGCACTCTTTCTGAGGGGTCCCCACACTCTCCCTGATCCCCTCTCTGCCATTCCCCACCGGCTGGGACAGAACTGGTTGAGGAGGGAGGTGGAGACAGTGGAGGAGGCTTTGCAGAGGGACAGAAAAGAGGGTGGGGAAGGGCCACTGCTTTCCTGGGCTGGGGTGGGGGTTGACGGTGGATCCGGGTGCCAAGATGAGCCCCTGATGGCTCTGCCCAGTAACCGTGAGATTCTCAGGGGTCATTCGGTTTTCTAGGGCCTCAGTGTTCTGGTCTCTGAAATGGGGATAGGAATACCTGCTTCACAACGCTGATGAGGGGGCAGATATAGGTACACAGAACAGCGGTAAGAGTGAGCGTTTCCTGAGCTCTGATGAAAGGCTGGGGCAAGGGCCCTGCACACACACCTCCCTGTTGTCACTGATGAGAAAACCTCAGAGAAGACAGACTTTTCAAGAGGCAGGGCTGAGACATGAAGCCGCATCTGTCTGACCCTGAAGCCGAGTCTGTAATTGCTCTGCTGGCCAGCAGGACCAATGCTGAGGCCCCAGGAAGTGGAAAGAGCCCTGGGAATTCAGGCCTCTCTCTGTTCTCTGCACAGAGGGAGAGCTGGTCTACAAGTGCGGGCCTCCTCCTCCCCCACCCGCAATGTTTGTTGACGGGGTACCCCTGAGCGGAGCTTTGCGTTTTGTGCCCCGCCCCCCGCAGTGGCCTTCCCACGTGGAGGCAGCTGGCTTCTCCCACCCCTGTGCTGGAGGTAGGGTTGGTCTCTTCTCCTCCCGCTTTGCTGCTTCCTGACTTCTACTACTCCCCGTCCTGTGAAGCTCTGCCCCACGGAGACACATTACCGCAGCTGTACCACCCTTCCCCTCGCCCCTGTGACTTCTGCCACGTGGCGCCCTGGCCACTCAGGCCCATTCCTGGAGGACCCAGGTACCTGGCTCCCGGCTGAGCCCATCCCCCAGGGTCCACGTGGCTGGCCCATCAGCGTCTCCAACAACATCTCCTCCATCCATCTCAGATGCACATCATCAAGGTCACCCTTTGGATCCGGTCATGTGTGGCAGAGCCTGGCTAGCTGTTGACCAAGTCAATGCTCTTTTCCCTCTAGGCCCACAGCTACGTTGCATTCCTAGCTTCGCTGGACAGAAGCAATGAGCGCCATGAGCAAGTCTGGCCCAGAAGTCCCATTTTTGTATGATTCTCTCTTCTGCATCTGCTAGCTGGATGCAGACTTCAGTGGAGGACTCGGGGCCATGGGACACAGTGGAAACACATGACAGAGGAGCCCGAATCTCAGAATCTGCTTGGAGGAGAGTTACCCAGGAGCCGCCCACAGAGCTCTTCATGGGTGAAAGACCTGTCTCTGCCACTGACTAGGTGTGTGACCTTAGACAGGTGACCACACTATATTCAGCCTCAGTTTCCCCATCTGTGATACAGGGATGGTAACATCTAGTCTGCATGGTCTTTGAAGATCAAACATGCTTGCAATGGATCCAGCATGCATTTGATGCTCAGGATATCAAAATGAAGACCCTTGGGCAGGGACTACCTGGTCTTTAGAACTTTCTCACTGATAAGGTGCTGCACCCAAAAGATTTCACAACCCCAACAACCAGGGGGACTAACCGTAGCTGCAGGAAACTTGTAAGTCAGCAATTATTCGGAGAATATTGTTCATCTGATTGGATCTTTGTTCATTTTCCATGATGCTGCCTGAGGCAGGATACGCAGAATCAATGTAGATTAAATCCAGAAGATAGATGCCTAAAATCAAAGAAGATATTTAATGATGGAAGGTGTTCATTAATCAGAATGGCACAAAACAGAACTGCTCTGCTAGAAGGTACATGGTGACTTATGAAAACTGCAATATGATTTGGACTTCAATTCCGGTCCCGACTACTAACTGTCCACATAAACTGCTCAACTGTAAATCAAACATCTGAGCAACAACCAAAATGAATGCTGGCAAGATTTTAGCATTTTGAGTTCCTACACTCTTACAGAAACAAGGGTTATTCCCTGTAACCCAGCTGGAAAATAACAGGACATGAAAGGGATGAATGAATACTTGTGTTTTACCAACCACTGCAGTTTAATAGGTCTAAGGTGTCATACCCAGGAGAACACTGTTTGAATTCAGGTTTTCGTTTATCCACTTAACTGTTTGTCTATTTGTTTATCTATCTGTCCTTACATGTACACACACACACACACACACATACACACCAAATCATAAATAAAGGAACAAAAGAAGAAATCAAAAAAGCAATAGTCCTTGGTATAAAGAAGTAAGGCTAGACAGAGAATTCTCCTGCTGAGGGTGCTTAATAAGAAAATAACGTGTGATGTAAAAACATTGCTGTGATAGGCCAGTAGGGAGCCTCAGCACGGCCTCATGGCATCACCCCAAGGGGAATTCAGGACAAGCTGACTGGCCAGAGATGGGGGAAGAGGACTGGCTGTGCAGCGCGGTCCAGCTGACTGGCTTGCTGAGGCCCACATTCAGAATCTCGAGGTGTGCATGCACAACGGGTGGCATGGCCTTCCAGCAGCCCCCCTCCAGAGTGCTGCCACTAAACCCATAACACTGGTGAAGTGCACAAGTAGTGATGCAAAGCAGAACTGAAGGCAGAAAACAATGAATGAGGAAAAGAGGAACAGCTGATATTAATTAAAGGCATAGGCTATTGAGAAGATCTAATGATTACTATCTTCTATGCACAAAGCAATACTGCACCAAAATATACAAAGCAAAAAAGTGCCAAAAATCAAAAGTGGATTCAACAAAGCCACAACTATGGAGGTGGCTTTCGGTATGTCTAGAATTTGTGTGTGTGTGTGTGTGCACATATGTATGTACATACAAAAATATATTCATATACACGTATCTATAGATATATGTATGTATGTGTTCTATATGAATGTATCTAAGTAACAGAATTAAAAGCTTGGTGTTATATATATAAAAAGACAATTATTTTAAAATACTCATGGAATGCTTACAAACACTGATTATATGCTAATCTATTAAAAAAAAAAGCTCAATAAATTCCAAAAAATAAATGCCATATTATCTGTTCTCTTTGACCTTACATTACATCTAGGATTTAATAATAAATATAGAAAAAATTCAACCATTTTTTAAACACACACTCATAAGGAACTCTCACAGAAAAAAATGAGAAATCTAAAATAAGTCTATGCAAAGACTATGCAACAACAATAAGAACACTATGTAACAAAACTTATGAGATCAGACCAAAGTGGTAATCAGAGGAAAATTTATAGCCTTGGAAGTTTCCTATTAAACTACTAACAATGACAACAAATGTAACTAACCAGGTACTTAATAGGCAAGTTGTGGGTTTTCTGCATGGCTGGGCAGCACTGCACTGACTTTACATTCACGATGTCATTCGTCTTTATAAAACCCATTTCACAGAGGAGGAAAAGGAAACGCAGAGAGCATGTGTAACCTGCTCCAGGTCACACAGCTGGTAAGCGATAGGGATGGGAGCTGAACCCAAGCCTGGCTCCCCAGAGAACGTGCTTCCTGCCATCACAGTGGACTGCTGTTGCAGGATACCATGAGTCACTCGTCTGCTTTTTAAAATAGCTACACGTTTTTTACGGGAAGCTGTTAAATCACAGAAACATATGCTAGTACTTCTCCTAGGAGTCGTTTCCACTTCCTTTCTTTCTAGTGGCACCATGTTTCCAAAATTTAAAAAAAGTAGAAATCATTTCCCTTGTATCGAAGCTCCAAGTTCAGAAGGTTTAACCCCACAGGTTCATGATTTCTCTTGACTGTGTTTTTCCTCTTCCCGTTTGAAAATCTAACTTGGTCATCTCCCCGAGGATTCGGCAATGGCGATCCTGAAAATTCCATTAGGGCTTGAACCACAACAGAAAGCGTCCCCTAGCGCTGAGCAGGAGGTGAGGGGATAAGGGACACGCTGCGCAGACCAAACCCACTGGCTCAGCAGCAGAGTGAACCTCGGCCCAGGAGCAGGGGCCCCGAGGAGCAGGATGTGGGAGACGGAGAGGAACGATGCTTCCTAGGAATCTGCTACAAGACGGGAACCTCCTCATCTCCCGTGATCCTCCCATCGACCCCGTGGTGAGGGTTGAGGAGCAAAGTAGAGTTCGGAGAGATTAAGAAACTGGCCTGAGGCCTCAGAATGTGTTGGATTCGAACCCAGGTCTATCTGGCTCCAGCGCCTGTTCCAACTCACTCACTGGTCATGGAATTAGTCACCTTTTCTTGAATAACACCCTCACATGGAAGGCTCACCCTCCGCCGCCCTGTGAGGACCAGGCCTGGCTTCTCTGCATCCTCTCAGGTCCCGACTCTGCAAACAGAGGCCAGGAGAAGCCGAACACCATCTCCCCCCCAGCCCCTGCCTGTCTCCTGGGGCCACGGGGAGCTCATTACTTCATGAGAGCAAACCCCACGGTAGAGTTGTTCATCACCCCACTCCATGAAACATATCTGTTCCCCCAACCTGAGAGTCCAGGCTGAGGCCACCACACGTGAGGATGGAGAGAACCTCCCAAAGGAGACCCCCTGGCCAGACCCCAATCCTTGGCACCACCTGACAGAGCCTGCATCTAGACTACTCATCACTCCCACAACAAAAACTGCTCCCAAAGCAGGAAATCTACAGTTAACACTGCGTAAGTCCAGGAAAATTCTCAGTATTGTCATCAGTCCATAACTGGCAATATTTAAAAGCCTAAACTGTGATGAAATCATCAGAATAGCCACTCCCACTTGGACTGGGCCAGTGCTCACCGCAATTAGATACTTATGGGGACTGTTCATGTATCTTCTGTCTGATGCCCACTTCAGACTTTATGTAAACCTTTCCGAGGAGGAAATGTCTTGCTCCGTGAGCTTAAGTCCCAGCAGCTGGAACAGAGTGCACAGGAGCTGCCTGGTGAACGTCAGCTGAAAGAAGGAAGGTATGAATGCAGGCCTACTTCAGTCCACAAGATACCCTTATGAAGTACATTCTTATCCTCATTTGGGAGCTGAAGAAAGAGACACTGGGAGTCAAGTGATGATTATAATCTGAGTCTGAGTGCTCACTATGTGCCAGCTCCTAAATTAAGAGCTTGGCCCTGTTGGTTGATTTGTAATAACCATTCTGTTTTCAGGGAGGCTTTATTTATATCTTTCCCTGGTGGCTTAGATAGTAAAGCAACTGCCTGCAATGTGGGAGACCTGGGTTTGATCCCTGGGTTGGAAAGATCCCCTGGAGAAGGAAATGGCAACCCACTCCAGTACTCTTGCCTGGAAAATCCCATGAACAGAGGAGGCTGGTAGGCTACAGTCCATGGGGTCACAAAGAGTCGGACACGACTGAGCAACTTCACTTCACTCATTTTATTTCTACAGAGGAAGAAACGAGCTAAGAGCTCGGCACCACTTGCCTGAGGCCACACAGCTGAGAAGTGGCAGAGGCAGGATTCGAACACACATCAGTGGGTGTGCGTGGCCATACTCTCAGTCCTTCTCTGACCTCAGCCCAGGGTCCTCTGGAGCTCAGCAGCAGGCGAGGCAGGACAGGGCACAGCTGAACCCAGAGGCCATACAGCCATGGCTCTCCCTGCCTAGTATCCCCCTTGGGGCCAACATTCTCCAGGAGGACTGACCACTACACCGTGGCCGTGTCGTCCACCTCCTCCCGTGGTGGCACATCTGTCCCAGGTCCCATCGCCGGCGCCCCCCCCCTCCACGGCCTGGGGGCCCGACCAGCTCTGCCACGTGACATGCAGCTGTGGTGGAAGTGGGAGAGTGTGGGGCTCAGAGCCAGGAGACTGGGAAGCCTGGCCCTGCCACCAACAGCTGGGTGGCCTCAGGGAAGCCTTCCCACCTCCCTGACGGTGACCGGGGGCAGTGTCGGAGCCTCTCAGCTCAGGGCTGGACCACTGAAGTGCCCTTGAAGCTGAGCCTGTCTCCACGGCAAGGCCCCGCTTGGAGTGGGTGAGATGTGCCCAGCCGGGTTTGCTGTAAACCATGGATGGTGCCCAGATGCTGACCGCGTGTGGCCACCCACCTCAGACAGCCAGCTCTGGGAGCTGTTGTGTCAACTGGGACAGCACGGCTGGGCTGTCTCAGCTCCTTTCCTATTTACGCAGCATTAATTACGGCAGCAGAGGACACCGTGTTGTTGACCTTGTTACGATGGACAGTTACTGGATCAGCCATTGGCCCTGGCGGCCTAGAGGCTGAACGGTGCCAGGGGCAGGGGCTAGACTGGGAGGTGCAGACGCGCTGGAGGAACAACCGCAAGGGTAACAGCCACCATCTGTGACAGGAAAGGCTGGCCTTGCTTGTTCTACTGCAACCTCACAGCAACCAGCAGGGCACAATCGGTATTCTCATTTCTTCATTTTACAGATAAGGGAACGGAAGCTTTGAGAGCAAAAGTGACTTGTCCAAGACCACACAGCTTACAAGTGGTGGGAATCGGGATCTGAACTCAGGCCCGCCTGACCCCATAAAGCTTTGGGACAGACAGTGATGCTGAAAGCTTGGAGTTGGGAGGCATTGGCTGGCAGAGGGACGAGGGTCCCAGAATGGGAACTGGCGCTGTGAGGACCCCTCCTGTGGCCTGCTGCCCACCCAAGGACACCGCTGGCAGCCAGCATCCACCCTGTGGCTTGCCTGTCTGCAGACTCGACCTCCTGGGAGATGCACAGCTACCCAGAACATGTTCTGTTCCCTCCTGCCATGCCCCACCCAGGGCCTGGTG